TCTTTCGAAAAAAAGGGTGACCGCGAAATAAAGGTAAAATTACAATGATTAATGGGAAACAAATTCGGGACTTTGGCAACCGACCGCTAAATACAAGGTGACTGTTTAATATGGTGCCGCTTATACAGATTGGACTGTAGCTGTAAATAAGAATTCTCCTTGTCATAAATGTTGTTTTAATTGTGCATGAATGGAATAGACCTTTTTACTTTGGGCGTTTATTTAGACCATAATGATATTCACCACATTACTTTCACTACGAATAATCACATTCATTTTAAATTACTCTTTCAGCTTATAATCTGGTCGTATGGGCAGAAAGGCAATTAGTCTGCGCATGTTCAGTAAATTTTTGTTTGAAGCGAATAACCGCTGCTACACGCCTGTGTGGGTTTCCCAAGAAAGAAGTGGAGGAAAATGCGTCGGAAAGCGACAGTGGAACGACTACATGAGACAACTTTTCTTGTCGTTTTTCCCTCTGTAACTTAGTTGGAATCGTCCTAGTCTTATTATGGTTGTGTGGTGTGCGAAAAGAAGGCACAATCGATTGATTTTCCAAAAGAAAAAGGGTATACAAACGAGTTCAATTCGAGTCCTCTTAATAATTGTTGGTGCGATCGATGTAGATGATCTTATTTGTGAATGATACAGGAGGCCTGTCGAAGAGCACAGATTTAAGCAGGAAAAAACAGGAAAAACAGGAAAACGATTCCAAAATTCGTTTCCACAATTTTCCAAATGATGCAGCGATTCGACGAGCTTGAATTCATACTGTACCGCTATGTTGTGATACCAAACTTTATTGAACTATCGAAAACAAACTGTTCAACGACACACCAGAACCGAACCGAACACGACACTGAACTACCTATATCAGTCTCGTCCCAGACTACTGCGGACAATTATTACAATACTGTTGGAAGGGCATCCTTGCCCAAAGGCTCGCGTCTGTGTTCAAAGCACTTGGAACAGCGCTGCTTTGAAGAGTCTTACCCCTTTCCTGTTTTTAGCATGAATACTACACTCAAAAGCACCGCAATGCAGCATTTTGCTACCAATTTTACCGAGGGCAAGGGGATCAAGCAACCATTTTAAGTCATCACCCCAGAGAGCCTTGATCAAAATGGCGGTCGTGGGACGTTCAAACTGGTCATGAAGGCCTCTTTTGAGAGGCCAAAACAAAAAATCTAAGGGGAGAGAACATTTTTCTGTCCGAAAAATCTACTTTTGGACACTTAAAGAGCATTTCAAGTGATACTTTCGAAAACAGTGGATGATCCCTTTCAGTGTGTTACTTTTTTTGTTGTGTTTTTAACGTACGCAAATGAGGACGTGCATGACAAACAATGGAATCCGTGTATCATACGCACCGTGATTTTGATGGTTATTTTTGTAGAAAAAAGTGCGCATTATACATGGGTAAATACGGTAGTAAGCTTCTGGGAATAATGACAAACTCTTGAACAACAGCTAGCCACAGTAACTGTCACAGCCATGCATTCTATCTATAGTACCAATTATTTGGTCACTTCACATTACCTTAAACAGAAGAGAATATAACAGTTAATTCCCATCATCAATCTCAAGAAATAAGAATTTCAAGATCACGACACATACAGCAAAGTGAAATATAACTCAACTGGTTTGAAATTCATAGTGCACTTCGACTCAAAATTCATTTCGCAAGGCAAAGCATTCTACTGAAATGAACAGGACAGAATACAGCTAACGCCATTCGTTTCGAAAAACACATGAACATAAAGAAAACGGCACCAGTTTTACTCATGAGACAAAACCCACGCATTTCTTTGAGGCAAATGAAATAGTTAGACCGAAAGCTAAATAAACTATTAACTGACAATAAAATTTTCATAACAACAACAAACATCAAACAAACTTTATTAGTGTTTTTACAATTAAAAGAAGAACATATAAAACTTGCATATTGCGTACGCTAGTCGAGGCGAGTTGTGCAGGGAGAAAAATTTGTAAGCGTCAAATAACAGACTATGAACGGTTGAACAATTTGTAAGCTTCAAATACCAGACTATGAACGGTAACAGGGATAAACTAAATGGCATACAATAAAATATCCAGGGATAAACATGGTTACGGAATTGATTGGTGTAATAGGTAACTTAATAAACTAAACAAACTAAACTAAACAGGCGAAGACATTAACTGAATAGTTACAAAAAGTTATGTCAAATATAAATTAATTTTGGATGGTAAATTAGGTGCTTCAATATAGTCCTGCTCGCCTTCTAGAGCTGCGAATAAAGCTTTGCGAATTGATTTCTTGAACGCCAGTTTTGGTAGGTTATATGCTTGAGATGGGAGACAACTCCACGCTTTCGCGCCAAAGCTGAATAAAGAATTCCGCTGGTCTTGACAAATTTTTCAGAGATAGCGTCTGGAGCAGAATTGTTTGAAACATCCTACATAGCGTGTAAGATAGCTTTAAAATAAAGCAGATGAATGGGTAATATTCTTGAAGAAATAAAGAAAGGAATAGCATGAGTTCTTGGACAGAGCTGAATAATGAAATGTACTTCAGAGGGTATGCGGTCAACAACGCGGGCTCAAGTGTCCTAGGTCTAAAATTTAGCGAAATTAGCGGAAAATAATACGAGCTGACTTTTAAAACCGAGGAACTCTGTTTTCGTCGATGGCACTTTCCTATTTCCAAAGGTTTTAAGGACAAAATTAATTTTTTAAAATTTTTAGGGGGTGTACCAAGTTTTTGGAGGTTGTTCTGTAAAAGAAAAGCGGCAAGGAAAACGACGCCTCGAAGCAACAGAATAGGAAATCAACCATGCGAACGACTCAAAATCCGTGTTTCCACGACAGGGATGAAAAACGTCTGCGCATGCGTGGCGTGAGCCTGTTGATGTTGTCGTTAGCGAGCCATTCGGTCGTTTGATCAGCGAAATGTCGGCGTAAATTAAACTGTGTTTTCGTGGATATATTTTGCCTTTCAAACTGGAATATAGGGACGCTATTTGAAAATAACTTCGGCAAGAGTACCATATTACCCCATACATTAATTATGCATTCAGACTGGTAGATTTTGTTTTTAAACTTTTGTCGTGAAAGACAAAGAAGTGGAATGCATAATTAATGTATGGGGTTATATGGTACTCTTTCCAATAACTTCTGTAAACTCGTCGACATGTTGAACGTATTATTTTGGGGAAACGTTTATTTGCTTGCTCTAGAGCCAACAACTTTCAGTACTCGGTGAGGAAAGACATTGTAAGTTTAATTTCTTTTGAGTATAATTTACCTCTATTTTAGATTATAAGTTAAGAGTTAAATTGATACAAGGTAAATAATACCATGCTTTGGTAATAAATGTGAATCTCGAAGAAAAATGGAACTTTTTATCAAGGCGAAGCGAAAGCACACCCATCCTACTGGGTGTTAATGAACAAATTGAAAACGCTGCAAAAAGACGGGTTACCCCATGAATAGCTAGAACACAAGTTACAAATTGTATTACATATCGCTTTCGCTGGAACTTAACATTCGTTTCAGTCCCGAGAGTATATATATCTCTTATTAACCAAGCGCGAGGGCCATACTGGGAGAATATCGGCCCGGGGTCTTGACAGCACGGACCGAACGCAGCGAGGTCCGTACAAAAAAGACCGAGGGCCGATATTCTTCCAGTACGGTCCCGAGCAAGCTTGGTTAATAAGAGATTTATTATACGACTGAAGTTTAAAGGGGCACAAGTGCAGTATCATTCGGGACCATTCGGGACAGTGCCCGGTCCAATACTGAGAGAACATTGTCCGGCAATATAGCATTTTGATTGGTTGATTTTAGTTATGGGCCCTCTGACTGCCCGAGTCGAGTAATAGATAGCGGTATTGGAAATTAGTTATTTCCATATGGCACGAGAGAAGCTCCTATTAATGTTGCCACTCAGCAAAAGCCACATGAAAACCATTGTTCATGAGGATGTGCTAACAAAAAGAAAAATTCCTGGGGAAGTTGGAATAAGTACAATGGTGTTGGAACTCAAATAAAAACAGAAGTTGGAATTGTTTCAGGATTAATGCTGACAGGGAGTTCAGGACTCATAGTGGTTTGGCCGATGATATTGTTCAATGCTTTAGGGACTTGCAAAGGTTGTAGCACACAAAGGGTTTGAGGAGAGTTTTGTGTGATTGAATCATAGATCCTGTTGCATAGTAAGATTCCTTGAACAATTATCTGGTACACCTATGTCTGACTCAGTGGACTACTTATTACAGAAATATCCTCATTTGATGAATAAAACAATTTGCTAACCAAAACGGCAATAAGTGTGCATGAGTTGCTTCCTGTTCTGCCAAGAATTGTTGACCGTGGAATAGTGCTCTGGAAGAACCAGAAAGTAACATTGCCATGTTGATGTGGTTGGATATTGACTGGTTTTATTTTTTTTGGGGGGGGGGGGGTGTGTTTTTTTTTTTGTTAAAAAGAAGAACTTTTTTTAAAAAAATGCAATAGATTTATCTTGCAACCTTTGAATGAAAGGGTTCCCAAATCTCCACAATAGTAGGTTAATAAGGAGAAAGGAAGGGTGAGCGTGGCAAGTGTTGAAAGTGTGAACTGATAAAAATAAAATGTTAGTTGTTCAGTTGAGAATTTGCACTGAGGGACCTACAAACTGCAAGGCAGTTATGTCAATCGTAAGGCAGCATTAAAATAAAAATGATCATTACTTCCATTGTGTACTAGCATTGAGGGTCCACACTTGCACACGTTTATTTTCTTTTCCTCTATATCTACAAGATATTCCTTTGAGATATCAAATTTTGGACGTACTGGGAAGAAAGAAAGCAAGATATCAACCAGGGAGCACGTGGTGTAATGCCTGTGAAACAAAATTTTACTAAAGTGCCGAAGGAGACTGACGTATGGTGATAACAGATGGGTTTCATTGTGAATATTGAGGGTCCACACTTGCACATTTTTTTTTATTTTCTTACATCCCTACAAGATATTCTACAAGATATTCCTTTGACCTGCCTGATGGTGGGTCAAATCTTTCTTAACTTAATATAATTACACTGGAAATAAAATGAAAATGAAGAAATATAACATAAAAAGACAAAAATATACAAGAAAAGAATAAAAGAAAAATGAGATTTTCATTGTAAAGGAGAAAAAGTCCTAGAGTTTCTAAGTTTACAAACAATGATGTAGAGCTGGTTCAATTTGGTTCAACTTAGCTGTGTTTGAATTTTAGCATTGTCACATCAGGCTCCAAATAGGAATCTGAAGTCTCCATAAAATTGGAAAGAGCCCTTTCTGTTTGTTTGTTTGTTTTTTTTTTTAAGGATTTCTCACACAAATTTGTTTATTCACTACTTTTATATTCAACTTGCAAGGCAACCACTTCAAGGCAGTACAAAAATTTTAATGATAATAATAAGGAAGGTTAGAATGAAATAAGATGAGATAGCCAAAAAAAGAGGAAAAGAAATGAGGGAGATGAGTAACAGGTTGGTTAGTATTAAAAGTAGGTGGTAAAAGGAATAGCAAAGGTTAGGTATAGCAAGCCAAAAAATATATTTTTGAGTTAAAAAAAATTTTGAACTGGATCTTTTGATTGATATGATGGGGGTGGGAATTAAGGATGGGTTGGTCTGAGTTGGTTTTGATCGACAGTTGGTTTAAGGTAAATGATTGATCAAAATTACTGGTACCTGTCTTAAATTTGAATGGTGATAATAACAGACACAAAAGTAAATTCCAAAATAATTTAATGCTATGAAAACTTAACTAAGCTATTTTGACAACACAGTACATAATGGAACTATTGCAAGATATTAATGAGAGAAAAATTCCCTCTCCAATATTAGCTTAATTAAAATAGTGGAAGTTTACCTAATAAATTAACAGTAATTCATTTTGAAATGATAGATATTTAACGTTGATTAGAAAACAAATGGCTTCTTGTTTCGTAATTTTTCCAATCCTAAAGAGCCAGTTTCCTAGATGTAAATCAAAGTAAAACCAAATGCACGATTTTGAGTCAACATAGTTCACAACGAAATCCATCTGTTATCGCCATACCTCAGTCTCCTTTGGCACTTTAGTAAAATTTTACTTCACAGGCGTTACACCACTTGCTCCCTGATTGATATCTCGCTTTCTTTCTTCCCTGTAAGTACAAAATTTCGAAAAGGCTTACAGGAATTAAGTTTAATTAACTGGAATGTTAGTCGGAAAACGGCGATGAGCAGCGATTATCTTGCTTTTCGATTGTTCGACGATGATGTCATCCTCAGAGACCCAGGGGCTGTGAGTTGATTTCAAGTTAAGGGCAGAAGAGCCCCTGCGGACATTGTCTTACAAGACTAGTTACAAGACTAGTTCCAAACAGTCGAAGTCGTTCTGGCATCTGATCGGTGCCAGAAAATCTTTGTGTTTTTCTTCTCAATCAGAGTCAAGTGTGCTTTGAGGTCCTTTCGTGTGTTTTAATGCGAACATATAGCAAGAAGCTCTGTTGCTCGCTATGTTTGTTTGGGCCGTGTGACAAAGCTTTGCCCGGGTAAAAAGTTTCAGTCTCTGCACACAATGTAAGAGAAATCGATCAGATTGTCCACAAAAATCTTACCGGTAATCATACTGAATACTTTCACAGGTATCACAAGAGAACGTATTAAAAAATTTGTGAGGTTCGTATAAAACATAATGGTTGCAGGCATTGATATGTCACTTTAAACATTAGATGAGATGTAAGCTTAAATCTCTCTAGATTTTTTGTCTAATTTGCTGTAACTGAAACTTTTCCAATCCTGTGAAGCTATTTTGTTGCACGGGCCACACAGGTTTGTCAAGCAACTGGCACTTATGCAGCTTTCTGTACACGCCAAAATCAAATCTAATCTTCGCCTGAAATAAAAGAAAAGCTAAGCATGGAAACTTTTGTTTATTAGATGTGGGTAGACAACCCTATCCTAAGCTGACATTTACAACAAAGCAAACCCACCCTTTCCATCCAATATTTCCTTGTCTATGGTTTTTGTTTTCCCCAATGAAAGCAGCATCTATTCCCCATGATCAAAGGTATTTAACTTGGTCTCCAACAATCGACAAGAGGTAAAATGACAATGACCAAGGGACTAGAAGAGAATCCGTGGCCTTTCGAGCTCAAGAATTTGAACACTCTAGGCAGCAGTTGAAAGATTAAACTCTTTCCAAACCCCTTCGGTAACTGTTCGAAAACATCTCTCCTTCCCACGATGTTCTCGATAATTATTTTTGTTCAGATTTGGATATACTCCGCTTACGGTATAAATTCTCAAAACTTACCGTCCTCTTTTTCTCTGGAATTCATTAAAATAAAAATAGAAGACCGGGTTCAAGATTGGATATGGAAACTTAGAATGTATTCTACTTATGGGGTGAGTTTTCAGAATTAACCCCGTTTTTTCGGAATTTATCAGAAAAAACGGAAAATCAGGGATGTACTGAGTTATAATTCAATCAGCGCGTTGGAATAGATTCTTTTTATGACATGAATTGTTTTTTTTTTTTAGAATTCCGTGATTCTCTGAAAATAATGAAAAATTGGGTAAAGATTACACACAACAAGTTGGAATATGTTTCATTTGCAGGATGAATTGTCCGATTTTACCCCATTTTTGGCATATCCTTCATGTGGGATTAATTGGTCACCGCCAGATAAAACATTGTAACAGAATAATTGAAGGGTTCCTTGCAAAAGAAGCCCTTGGTAACTTAGGATGAACTACTGTCGTCCCATTCCAACGTGCTGCCTGTTTACTTGTGAAAGCGAAGGAGAACTTAACATGACATCAAGAGTCACTTAGTAGGGCTCCACAAAAGAAAAATCTATGTAAGCAAAGAACAAGTTTTAAATTTCTCTTCCGAATATTTAATGTCTTCCGATGACACTGACGTACTAATATGGCTGCCCCATTATAAACAAGATCATTAAGCTCACTTAAAAATAAAAAAAGAAACAATACACATTAAATTTATATCCTTGATAGAGTAGTTTTCCAAGAGATTATGATTTCACATATTTGAAAAAAAGAGGAATTACTGTGACATAGATATATAGGTTGAAAATTTTAAAAGGGATAACTTAAGTATAGGTATGTGTCGGAAAATGATCTTCTCCCTTTCTTTGCTTCTCTCTTTTCGTTTGCTCCTCCCATTTTCTTTGTTCTTCTCTTCCTCTTTCCAGCTGCTCTTCCATAACTATTTCTTGTTCCAGCCAGTCCATGTTAATCACATACTCTTCAAAACATAAGATATGTATGACTTAGTAACATCAATATACGACATTTTACAAAGCTGTGTAGCCCTGAGCCTCTGCGGTTTAGTACTTCCTTAAAAATCCGTAAACATGGCCGTCCAGTGATGGCCTTTGTCAAAAATATCACCACCAATGTTCATACTAGAGATACAATAACGTTCACCCTAGAATGTGCACATGAACCATTAGGGAGAGTACCTCTTTCCGTGCCAATATTCTTTGATATGCCTGACACCTAAGTCGCTGATTATTAATTTTTAAGTAATGTTATAAGTGAGAAAACAGTAGTTTGATTGCTTCTCAGGGATGAAATGCACCAGTACTTCACTATGCCAGACACCCTCATCTGAAGTTGTGTGTAATTCATAACAGCCTTGTTCACTGGTTTTATTTCATGATAGGCGATAAACCTCAAAGCAACTTCAAGAACTCCCTTAGAACATTCAATTTAAAAGGGACGATTTCCTGTTGAGTTGTTAGGTTAGCCAAAATTCTGTTCTATTCTGAAAGTATGAGAAACCCTCTCAGGATGGCAGAGAAGAAATTAGTTTATCTCACCACGTGGTCCTCCATCTTGAGCCATGGTAATAATTGATCAACTTCACGAGATTGGCAAAGTTTCAGTTACAGCAAATTGTACAAAAAATCTAGAAAGATTTTTACATCTTGTTTAACGTTTAAAGCGACATATCAATGCCTGCAATCATTGTGTTTCATACAAACCTTGCAAACTTTTAAACACGTTCTCTTGCGATACCTGCGAAAGTATTCAATATAATTTAAGGTGAGATTTTTGCGGACAATCTGATCGATTTCCCTTACATTGTGTGCTGAGACTGAAACTTTTCACCCAGGGCAAAGCTTCGTTGCACAGCCCAAACAAACATAGCGAGCAACAAAGCTTCTTGTTATATGGCCGTATTAAAACACATGAAAGGACTCCAAAGCACACTTCACTCTGATTGGGCAGAAAAACACAAAGATTTTCTGGCACCAATCAGCTGCCAGAACAACTGCGACCATTTGGAACTAGTCTTGTAAGACAATGTCCCCAGGGGTTCTTCTGCTCTTAACTTGAAATCGACTCACAGTCCCTGGGTCTCCAAGGATGTGATGATGTAAACAAACTGGAGTTTCTTCAGGCAAGTTCACAGCTCTTGCCAAACCAAGTGGCAGGGGCTTAGAATTGCCGTAAAAAGCTTCGTTACTGCTCCTTGTTTTACCGACGAACCAGCATCTTGCATGAATGGACGAAAAAGTGATCAGGAAAAACCAACACAACACTGTAGACATTTCTGCAAATTGAGCAAGTTTGCAACCATATTAGCCGTTTTCACACTAGAGGACAGACAAATCGTCTGGACGGACAAATCGTCTGGACGGACAAATCGTCTTAGATGAACAAATCGTCTAATGTGAAAACGGGATGAACAAATTTTTCGACGAACAAATCATCTGATATTTGGCCATCTGGAAAGACGATTTTTTGAAGACGATTTGTCCGTTGAGACGAACAAGTTGACAACAGTACCACTTAAATTCATATCAGATGGTGAAATGTTCGATTTTCTCGCTGCGAGGAAATGGGACTGGCAACAGAGCAAGGTTTTATGGGAAGTTTCAACATGGCGGCAGCCATTTTGCTTTACAACACGACCTAGTGCCTGTTCTCTTTGCGCTCATAAGATGGACAACTTTTCGGCATATGGCCCTCTCGAATTCAAATTCGATGAACAAATGCCAGACGATTTGTCTGTCCAGACGATTTGTCCGTCCTCTAGTGTGAAAATGGCCATCGAAACTTCACACAAAAGACCGTTTTTCGGCGCGAGAACAATTTTTGTACAATTTGTACACCCTCTCAATTTTTTAAAATTCTTTTCTTCTTTTCAAAAATGAGAATTAAAACCTTATCTTTTTAATGGCATCCTTATTTTTTCAACTTTTGTAACGGCTGTTAATTTCCCGCAAGATTTATTCAGTTTATATAGGCGCGCGTCTGAGCCCACGTTTCATACCGCGGGTCTCTGGTGCACAGGCAGACGCTTTTCATCCCTGTATGTTTCCGCGGCAAAACCTAGCTCTGCCGTCTACGTGATAGATGAAATTTCCAGGACAGATGGAAATTCATCTTTCCTCGGATCAAATATCTTTCGATCGTCTCCACACACAACTTTGTGATTCACAAAAATAAAACATCAACATCTTAAGACTAACCTTCAGGGTTTGTTGTCTCACGTGCACATTTCGATCTTCAGTAAATCAAATCTCAAACTTCAAGTTTTCGGGCTTTTTTCGCTTTTTGTTCGCACTTTGATCATTAAAAGATCCTCAACCGAAGAGCCGGCGACTACCATGAGTATCCACAGAGTTAGAAATGTTGGTGAACTTGTCATACTCCTCCATCCATCTTTAAAAATATTAGAAAAAGGTGTCGATCGTCCCGTTGAAACCCCGCAGAAACGCGTCGAAAACTTTACTAATGGCGCCGAACGCGACAAACCAATTCCACTCGTGCATGCGCAGACAAAATGACTCTCTGCGACAATAGTACAGATAGGACTCTGGAACGAGGTTTCCGTTCAAAACAACATGGCGGGCTCACATGGCAGTGTCTTTTCCTTGAAACTGGTATTTATTTTGAGCATGTAGTCATAAGGTATGTTATTTGAGTGATTATCGTACTTAACAGTGATTCAAGGAAAACAATGAACATGTAAAATTTTGTCTCTTCGTGTTTTTAAAAGTCATGCCTATGTGTTATTTCATTCCGTTTGGAACTCGTTGCTTGTTTCTTGTTACCAAACACAGTGCGAAACCATGCATAGTTCTGGAAGAAACTTAGCGAACAATTCGCACTGAAGTTCTTTTATGCAAGATAATAAAATATGTCCTGTTATCATATGCATGGAGACTCGTGTTGAAATAAATTTGCCGTACTGTCTGCTTAAGCTACCCATTGGAATTCCTATAGAAGACAACGTTATAACTATGTAAGTAATATTGTAAGAAATAGACAACTTGTTTGAGAGACATGTTTCGTGCCATCTTCAATCAATGAGTAACAGAACGTGAGTAATTATATAACAGACAAGTAGATGAATAAAATATTACAGTATGATGTAATACAAAAGCGGGTACTAATTACAATGTGACACCAAACATCAAAAGTGTGAACTAAAACGCTAGAAAAGTGTTATAATGGTGTAATTGTTTATTAAGTTCAGGTTTGGTCTTATTTATATAAAAAGCTTCTTTGAGTTTTAAATCAATTGAGTTGTTAGCAGAATCCAGAATACTAAAGGATGAAAGGGAGTATTTGTTCTTACAAGAAGGAGATGTGTTGAAATGCTTGAAAATATGCCAGTTTTATCACTTTCTGTGTGCTCCTTTATCCTAGCAGATAAGTGGCGACTAGTTTCGCCAATATAATGGGAATTACATCCTGCACAAGAAAATTGATAAACTACCATGGATTTTATCAATGATATGTACATCTCTCTTTAAGCACGTCGTATTTCTGGTACATTTTTTTTAATCAACGGCAATACTCATATTTCAGATTTATTCATCATTCCTATGCCTCATCTAATCATAGTTAGTAGAGGGGACTGGTTAGGAAACGCGGCAAACTTCAGTCGGATAGGTTATTGTTTGATTTTATCGAGGTCACGTGACAATGACCCTGCACACATAAATCCAAAATGGCACCGCGGGCTTATTTTGACAGTCACGTAGCATTTAAGTTTTTGGATTTTTTCCGCGATCGAGCGACATCTTACCTTCAAAATATAGCTAAAAACACTAATCAAGTCAGTGGACATAATGCCAGGTGAAAATAGTTTAGTATTTGGCTGTGGAACGTGTAGGAGAAGTAAAGGAATTGGAATCTGGAAGCTACCGGCACCGCGAAACACAGAATACAAGAAGTGGCGAGAAGACTGGCTGAAAATAAATAAGTTACTCTATGTTAGATGCTTTAACCATATAGCCTTTATACTCATTTTTGTCTATAAAATAATCATTAATGAGCAATATTTAATATGTTGCAGGTTGTAGCTACCAAATTAATCTTTTGTAATAAATTACTTATTGACAAATTGTGGCAGGCTCTTAATTCTAACTATATCTGCCTTTCTTGTTCTTTGCTGGCTCT